TATAATTTTTTATGACTTTTTGTCTAAAATATTACTGTTTTTTTTTAATCTTTCATTTTTCCAGATTTAAGGAAACCTTTTTGTCCTTTTCTCCTATCTATGACTTACAACAATTTGGTGAATTATGCTTTTATAGACAGAATTAAAATATTTATCTTTTTCTAACTGATCCCTCCAGAATTTGGAAACTCTTAGTAAGTGAATATTATCTCATGGCAATGTATTTATTTGCATAAGTTCAATAAGAATCTGTTCTCCTTATAACAGGACACAATTGGAAACACTGGTTACATTACCAAAGCTTTGGCTGGAACGTCATATTTGAGAAAAACATACAAACTCAGATATGACCAGACAGCTTTTGAGAGACAAAGATTGGACTTTATGGAATAGAGCCACTTGGAAATAATGGCCTGGTACCTTGTTTATAGCATACCAACAACCTTACTGAGTAAGTAAGGAAGGTCACTTATCTGGCAGGTGCCTGGAACCTCAATATTTTGTGGAACTTCAAAAAAGAGAAGAATTCACCCAAATCTGTAGATATTACAGGCTTTGTCTGATCAGTCCTTGGCTTTCCTGGCCTTGAGAAGCCTTTAAAGTTCAATCTGAGATTCGGTATAAAAAGTTCCAGCTAGGCAGGTTTAAAAGAGCCTATATGATCAATTGCTATTCTTGCTGTACTTATGTAAATAATTGGGCCAAATTTATTTATAAATTTACTTATTTATTTACCTACTTTGCTTATTTACCTTTACTTACTTATTTATGGTGAGGAAGATTAGCCCTGAGCTAACATCTGTTGCCAATCCTCCTCTTTTTGCTGAGGAAGACTGGCCCTGGGCTAACATCCGTGCCCATCTTCCTCCACTTTATATGTGGGATGCCTGCCACAACATGGCTTGATGAGCAGTGCATAGGTCCGCACCCGGGATCTGAACCTGCAAACCCCGGGCCGAAGAAGCAGAGTGTGCAAACTCAACCACTATGCCACTGGGCCTGCCCCGGGCCAAATTTATTAAAACTAGACTTAGTTTACAAACCAGTTAGTCTTAATTTACAAACCAGTTAGTCTTAATTTGGCTATCTTTGGTAAAAGTAAGGGTGGTTTTAGAGAGAAAAATTGTTTCAGTAAAAACTATAATACACACTTGTAAATATTAAATTTTAGTGCTGTTAATTTTCCTTGAAGTTTGTTATTCACCTAAAAACTGGACTAGATCTTAAATGCTTCTAATTTCCTCAAATATTTGGCTATAAATCTCCAAACTAATGTTTTCAATTTTTTCCATCATTTATATTCGGAATCATTGAAAACTGAACCTGCCCTTTTCCTAAAGCCCTGCAACCTAAAGCTGGACAACTTGATATAAACTTAAGAGAGATTCACATCTGCTGCTGTGTAAGCCACTCAGAAAGATACCTGAACACCTGATGACATCATCAGAGACATTTCAAACCGCAAAAGACACTCTGATTCTGACATCCAGAGACCTTTTTGACTGGCTGCCCCCTTGGCTCAGAAACTGGTTTATAATTTGCTCTAACCAGTAACCACTGTTTTCCTTTGTTTCTGTAGAAATGCCTCTTATTAAATACCTGATTGCTTGCACCGCAGACCTAACTTTGGGAGCCCACCTGCATCACTGCCTCCTGAAATGAAACATAACTGTTTAACTGAACTGACCTATTTTCAAGACTAAAAGATTAATTCAATGAAAAAATGAAACAATCTACCAGTTCAACCTTTACTATGTGACACTTCCAGGGAAGTTTCAGAGGAGGGAACTGTTGGGGCCCAGGACAGGCCACCTCGAGATGTTCCACAATGGCATACTGACTATTTTGAGTTCAAGTTCCTTAAAAAGCAAAAAGTGCCTTCTGACCCTCCTGTCTGTGTTCCCCCTGAAAGCAGGAAATAAATCTCCTCTGTGAAAGGTGCTCTCCTTGCATCCTTATCACCAGAGCTAGGGAATTCAAGGCCGAGAAATCTTTTTTTTTTTTTCATTTTTTGTTTATTGCAGTAACATTGGTTTATAACATTGTATAAGTTTCAGGTGTATATCATTATACTTCTATTTCTGCATAGATTACACCATGTTCACCACCCGAATACTAACTACAACCCATCACCACACACTTGTG